TGACGGATTTCGCGCAGCATGCGTCGTAAAAAAGTCACGCTAATGCTGCACTTTTTTATACATTTTTTTTTCCTAGGGTGAGTCCTTGCACATTGCGTGTGTGGATATGAATATAAGGGGGGTGGTCCTTTTGGTCCCTGTTGACCCATAAATACGCACGTACGACCCCCGTGACCCCCGTGACCCCGTTGACCCGCCGGGGAACACTGGTCGCAAATGATATGCTTCAATTTAATTACACTGCACTAATCAGCAAAATGCGACAAACCGATGTCTGTCATGCAAAGCGTGTTGCGGTTCTCACGCAGCCAATGACATTTTGCCGTCCCTGGCCAATAATTGGTCAAGATCGATGGCTAAATGCATTTGTATCCAAATGGCCAAATTGCTGACTTTGTAAAAGCCCATACACTTTCACAATTAAGGCCTTTTATATTAAATATTCCATGAAGCCAAAGCCAAGAATATGCTTTCTGGGTGTAAAACGATTTATAGAAAGTTCGATGGGGTTTTGTCTTGCACTTAGTTGCCGAGAAACTTACAATTCACTGGCAACTAAATTAACTTAAAGACCGCAATTGTCATCAATTTTGAAAACTTTGTAATGTAATTATGGAAAATGATGGGTATTTACAATAATTATCGTGAGAAAATAAGGAGTGTTAATGGTAGTTACTTGCGTTATTTAAGAGAACAATTACTTGGAATTTGGTTTTTAATTCTTTGGATAGTTTTGGTATAGGGTAAATTATAGAATCAAGGCTAAGTTTTATGCTCACTCAACAATAACTACGTTTACAATTTAATTATAGAAAAATAAGTTGCCCTTTATTCCACGCGCGAAGTCCCTAGAAAACCAAATTACTTTTCTCCATTAATTAGACTTCAAACCGGTTTAGAATTTCGTGGCATAATTAATTTCGTGGTAAAAGAAAAGTTGGAAAATTGATTAGTACAGTTGCATCGAAGGGTTTCCTCGGTTGTTAAACCGGCCAGGGGCATTGCACTAACGGCGAGGAAAACGTGCAGCCAGCTACAGGCAAATTTCCACCCAGTTTCCCCCATTTTCCCCCTATTTTCCTGCCATTTCCCCAGCACTGTGTAATTTTAATGAAAGTGCACTGAAGTTGACTGGTTTCTGTGCAGCATCCGTGGCTGCTCATGTGCTACTATCCCTAGTCCAATATTATTTACGCTCAATTAAGTTCCTGCACATCCCCCTTTCCGTCTGGATTTTCCCCATTTTCTCCCATTTTCCCCCCGTTTTCCGCAGTGAGAGCTACTTGGATGCAACTATTGCCCCAAACAGATTGCATTCGCAGTCAATTTCTGTTCCTCAGTCTGTTGGCTTTGTCACACAACTGCCACGCCCACCGCCTTTTTTCTTAGAAAGAGGAGTGATACAGCTGTGGTTGTAATACTAATAATAATTTGCATTATTTTCAGAAAAAACTTAAATAAAAATATTTTTTTTTAATTTTTTGATCTTCTAATATATGTGTAATGCAATTAAAGGTGATTTTATAAATTACTATTTAAGTTTAAGTGACTAAAATTCAAATAAATATATATATTAGCAAAGAATTTTTTTAAGTTTTTACCGCTATTCACTTTATTTAAGCGGCATTTCCTTATAGTTCTGTTTAAATTATTCTGTCTTTATTTACCATAAAATATTAACAACAACAAAGAAAATATTTATATGCCACATCCTGTTATCATTTTTGCGAGCCAACAGCTATTATTTTGGCCGTTGCTGTGAGATTTGGCTAAGAGCGCCTGTCACGAGCCATTAGGCAGCCATTGTTTTGGACTGGCCCCGAAAAGCTGGGCATACGAATACAATAAAAGCCGAATTCCAACCCCTTGCCCTTATCCTTGCCCCTATATATATATATTTTCCAGCCATCTCAAAAAGTTAACGCTTGATTTCTGCACTAAAACCCAGAAGTTTGCCATTCTTTTGGGTCATTAGTTGGTAATTTATCAAAGTCATGAATTTATATTATACACCCGCTTCCTGCCACGCCCCCTTAAAAGAGCCGTGGCCACCGCCCCCTGGCAGCTGCAGAGTGCAGATGCAAAGTTTTCAATGCGGCAGCTGTCATAAAGGCAAATGGGAAAAGGAGGAAGCCAAGTCAAGTCGACTAAAGTCAACTTAAGGCGGGGCAATAAAATATGAGGAGCCCGACGAGAATCGGAAATGAGGTGGCTGCTCCACCCCAAGTAATGGCCCTCCATTTTGTCGTCTTTCAATTAGTCAAATTTGTAGCGCGATTCTGATTAAAATTCGCCAGCAGCGTAAATAGTTTTTCCCATTTTAATGGACCATTAAACTCAAACAATCGAGGGTCGAATCGTGTGGAGAGGACTCTCTTGGAAAAAAGTGAAGTGCTGACTCGTACACAGAGAGAATCTTGGGGATTCCTCGGCTTAATTATATACTCCAGCGATTTAAAGTCCCCAGCAATTTATATAAAATATACATAATCATTAAAATATAGACCTAATTTTAAAATACGAAAAAAAAAGTAGCACCATTATTATTGAAATACTGCTTATTATCGTTATACAAAATTACTCTTATATCATTTTAGTTATATTATATATATTATATATTACATATTTAAAGGCAACGATAATCAATTCCAAATATTTATTTTAATATTATTTTTTTTATATTTAGACAATAAAATTCAAACTTTACTTTAATTAAATATTTTCCACAATTGTGACTCAGTTTTATCATAAAAAATTAATTCAATCGACTTACAGAATATTCAGGGAATCAAATCGTTAAGCCAAAGTTGTTTTATGAAATCTTTAAAATTATATAACACGTTATGTTTTCACTAGGAAAAAGCGCCAATCATTTTTTTTATAATTGGGCAGGTCCCACAAATAAATAAAAGTACAAGTGGTAGCTATTTTCGCGCAGTGCAGCCTAGGTGAGTTATGTCCATGACCTGAACCCAGCCGAATGACAGCCCTTTTGAGTGTCCCATCCTGGCCATTTGTGTTGCTCATTTCGGTCGCTTGTTCTGCACTTGACAATGCAATTTGCGGCAGACTCCAGATTCCAGATACCAGACTGCAGATTGCAGATTGTAGATTGCCGCAATGAATCGCCAGCTTTTTGCCACAGGTCCACTTTCCACTTTTCACCTTCCACCTTCCCCTGCTGCCGGTCATCTCGACATTCATTGCATTAGTTTTGGGAGCTTAGCTCTTGGCCAGCAGACCAATTAGGTGGGCCCCAGTTCCAGTCGGTTGCCGAAATGCAAATGCAAATGCCACAGAGGGACTCGCCCGGTTCATTAATGCAAAAATATGCGTAAAGTTTTCGGCCCGCATTGGCAGTGGCCAGGAATTCCTGGCATCCACTGCATGGCCAGTTTTCTGGATATGAATGCGGGCGGGCTTCCTTCCTGACCACCCTCTCCCCCACTCCACCCACCACCCACCAATTGTATCGAAAGCGGGAAAATTTAAGGAGCCAAAAGTAATTCAAGTTCGGAACAGCAATTGTGGGGAATTATGAACACTGGCAGTGGCATTTTAATTCGATTTTTGGTTAGCATTTATGGTTGATATTGTTGCCTTTCTTATAGAGCATCAGAAAACAAAACAAAGAAAAGCTTAATACTGTAAAAATATTAAAGTAAAATAAATAAAATATATATATATATATTCACATCAGCGAAGTCATAAGTGAATTATCCATACAAATAGTGTCTTGCCCACCATAACTGATTTCATAATATGACGTATACGCCCATAATATCAAGTATACGCCCAGTGGAGCAATATTGTGAAGCATTTGAATTTGTAAGACACTTCCACATAATTCCATTGAATCGAATTCAATAAACCATGCACATTTCGAAGCTATTTGCACTGCCAATGAAATGCGAATCACATTTGATGATTGCCCTGGAACCAAGTGCTTTAGACAGTTTCGAATTTGAGCTGATGACCATGATGATCATGGCAATGATCTGGCCCTTTCCCCTCCAACTCTGAGCTCATAATGTGTTTCCGCTTGCCTAATTCATTTAATTATGATTTCCGGTGTTGAGGCGAACTGAGTGCCGAACAGCGAGTCCTGCGAAAGGATGTGTGAGCCACGCACACGTGCCCAATATTACCGCTACTTGATTGCTAGGTCCTTTTTTGGTAGAACCCCCCAGCTCCCCCCAAAAAAAAATCATTGCAAAAAAGGCTTGGAAATGGGGAAACACGGCTAACAAAATACTCTTGGCAAACAAAGAGGGATTTCTGAATTGGGAACTAAGTTATTATATATGATTCGCTTCTGCCTAATTTCTGCATTTTTGTCAACCATTTAATCAGTTTTATAATAGCATATACATTTGAAGATGAACCTCTCTAAAGTTAAATTTCCAATACTTTTCATTAAGCAAGAAAACCAAATTTAAGCAAAATAAAAGTAACAATTTCTTGCAAGCCAAGACCATTTTTCAGCACTCTCACTGCTGAAGATGTGGCTTAAGATAAGTTTTTTCTCAGCTGGGTCCAGATGGATTATGATTGCCTCCAAAGTTGGCTTAAACTCGGCCATAGAGTATAGGGTATGGGGTATGGGGTACAGGGTATTGGTATAGTATGTGGCATGGGTAGCAACATTACCAACCATTCATCAACTCCCGACAAGCAACAATTTTCCCATTCCGCAAGGATATCTATCCTTTTGCAATTTGCTTGTATTAGAAACTCATTTCCGTTTGTAATTGAGTCACTGCTGGCAGCTGGTGCATGTGGTGTGTAGTAAAGTAGGTGGTTCCATTTTCCATTTTCCATTTTGCCCACAATATGCCGATGGTTATGCAAATTAATGGGCATGCCAGCTGGCTGACTGGCACTGTTCGGTTTTTGGTCTTCTGGTCGGGATTTCCATCCTCCTGTCTTCCAGCTTTTCTCTTTCCCGATGAATTGATTCGCCCAACTGAAGTGTGTGTTCTTTTTGCTCCGCATTTCAGAACCATCGCCGCTGTACGACAACAATCACTATCATGAGGAGTGCCTGCGTTGCAATTCCTGCGGTCTGAACTTGACTGGGCCCAACCAGAAAAGGGCTAGGAGATTCAAGGTGAGTGCAGTTCCAGCTGGGAATAAATAACTAAATAAGTAGACTCAACATCGCATCCCCCGAAAAATAATACCACAATTCGCGATCTGTATTTAAAGGCTTGATAAACTTGTAGTATATTAACTAAACTATTGTTACCTAAATTCTAAACTATAGAATATAAAAACCCTCTAAGTAATATGCATTATTTCTTTCGATAAATGAGTAGGCTTTAAATTAATAACTTAACTAACTAATTAACTAACTGATTAACTTATCATGTAGTTTATTTTTAAGAGAATGCCTTCTGAACTTAATCTATGGGTGACAACAATGTTTTAATATTTTTGTAAAAGGTAATTTTTCAAAATGTTGAACAGATTAAAGCTACATTTTTGTTGGCTATTCTCAGTCATACTAAAATTTTACTTTGCGAAAAATTCTATCATTTTCCATTTCCTTATCATTATTACTTATTTATTTTATTTTCTCACGCACTTGGCAAAGGGTCTCATCCAAAATTAATTGAAGAACAAAGAAGCTTTTGAAAATTTTTGTGTCATTGTGATTCACATAAATAAATAAACACTGAGTGATGTTGAATCCCATGTAGGAAGGTCTTAAAGAACTCTTTAACATACAAAACAAAAATTAAGCAAGCTGTCAGAGTGTCTAGTCTTCAATATTTATATTCAATTTTAAAATATATACTGTATATAATGTCACGAAAAATGCAGAAATGATTTCCAATTCAGGAGGCATATTTATTCGTCAATTCATCTGAAATGCATTCGGCCCAAAAAGGCGAACTCATTACGGATGACGGATGCACGGCAAGTGGCTTAATCAAAATTACAAATGAGCCGTCAGAACAGAAAAAAGTGGAGCCCGAATAAATCATTTACGATGAATCCAGGCAGGAATCCAGTGAAAATCCCTCTCTAATTTTTTTTATTTTTTGTATTTTTTTCGTTCCTTCTTACATCCTGCAGAACCAGATCCTGTGCGACCTGCATTTCGCGGACGTGGCCCTAATGGAGTGCTCCGATTTCATGCAGCAGCTGCGGAGCTTCAAGCCGCAATCCTTGGGCTGCGCGGTGGCCAGGCGCAAAAGTTCCACGACGCTGATATTCCCGCTGCCACCGCAAGCTTGCTCAGGTATGTACATCATACACTTTACACATATGCGAAATGTACGAAATGTACGGAAAATACGGTGGGCGATGGGCACATTTCACGGGTATTATGGCCGGATCGGGACAGGGCTGAGCGCAGTAGTCCAGCAGATACCCTGGGAAATCAGCTACGAGGGCATTATGCCAAAGTATTCACTTAAAGTATTCATTTCAATTACTTATGAAAAAACATAGCTGTGAATGGCATCACATAGTACCTGCTAGGCATTGGTATTCAATTTAAATAAATTTAAACTAAATATATTTCGTAAAAATATTTATATTCAATTTAAGGCATACCAAAATTTCATTGCCACTTTTAACTTTATAATTTACATTACTTTTACAACATTTAAAAAGCAAGATCATCAATCTATATCACATTCTTAAATTTTATTTACATTTTTGGAATATAAATATTTAATTTTATTTATTAAAGAAATACAAAAACTAAAGAGAAATTGATTTTATGAAAATATATTTATTAAGTTTCGCGTATACCACGATTTTATTGCCATAAATGTCTACATTTAAATTCATATTTATTAAAACAGTGCTGCCATTTAATCTTAAATATCCCAATTCTTATCAGAGTTGTGCAATATGAAAATAAAATATGCGTTTTAAAATTGAATTAATTAAAAAAATGTGTAAAAAAAAATATGTCATTGAAATAAAAGCATAAACGTTTCAACTTGTAAGGAGAACTTGAGCGATGTCATACTCCGAAATAAAATGGGATATATCCCATTCGAATAAGCAAGAAACCCTTCTATGGCACAAAGTTCTGCTTTTTTTTTGTTTTTGTTGTCCCGTGTGTGTGTGTGTGTGCGTGGCGTCATCATTATAATTCAAATGAGATTTGCGCGCACAGCAATCTACTCACCCACAAACACACACACACACAGACACGGTGAAAGCAGAGAAAGCGGAGAAAGGGGGAAAGAGAGGCGAGAGCGCCACGTCTACAAGTTGGAGAATGTTTGGCATTTTGCATAATAAAGTTGTTCAAACATATTTGACGTCGGGTTGCGCACTCACACATTCGTACTAATACACACACAACGTCACACACACACACACACACACACAGACAGATAGAGCCGCCATTTTTCGCTGACATAAACTTTCAATTCGGTTTTCATTTTACTTTATTTCCTTTCCTTTTTTTTTTTGCTTTTTTCGGCGCTCGCAAACGATTTAATTAAAATCCCCAAAAACAGGCAGAAAGCAAGCGGATGAAATACATAACATTTCTTAACATTATTTATCAGTTCTCTTATATGGTATCTGTATCTGTATCTGTATGCGCGAGCAGGAATGCAAAGTTTATTAACTGGATTTTTATTGCAAAACTTTTGGCCCAAACTCAGAGCCGTTTGGCGTCCATTTTAATTACAAAAAGCCGAAATAAGCGAAATCGCGAAAGCCGGAATCAGTTGAATATTATTGCCATACACTCTCTGCCTCCGTCAATGATGATGATGGAATTAACTTGACATCCGGCAGTATTTCTGAATTTTATTCAATGATTTCACGACCAATTAGGGCAAATCCGCCAGCAAGGCTATCGGGCTTTGAACCAAATGACCAACTCAAAAACAATCAATTAAATAGAAAACATATTTCCATATTATAATATTTAAAATAGGTTCAAAAAAGAATTTTCAAACTAAACATGATTTTAATTAAATTAAATGTAAATGGGAATCTAATGCTCACTTGTATTTTCTCTAAAAAGTAGAAGTCATGGAAGCAACAAGTTACATCACATACATATTTAATACAACCAAAAAACCCACAAATACGGATTCACACGGAACTTTATACCTTTGACTAAAACCAGAGAAAAAATGCCTTTTTCAAAAGCTCCAAACGATGTAAAATCTCAACCAAAGGAAAAATATTTGTTGGTTTTATGCAATTATTTTATCAGAATTCGTCAAATGCATATAAGCTGTCAAAGGGTTTTAAAATGTTTGCTAAAACATGTCACATTTGAGCAGCAGGCATAAATGTGTTTTAAATACCTTTTATAAATATTCAAAGGTAAATTTTAGACTCAAAGCAACCGCAATTCTTGAAAATGTTATGTAACTTGGCACCTTTGAAAGGTTTTACATTAGATTTCTGTCAATCCGGATGCAAAAATAACAATTGAATTTATTCGATGGGAATTTATTGCGGAATATTATATACATATACAATATTATATACATACAAATAAATTTTTGCTTACTGATTATTCATTAAAGGCAATTGTAAATAATTTTCCGCCTTGAACCCAAAAACTGTTGATGACTGGAAAATAGTTAAGTAGTGTAAGTAAGTGACTGTCATTAAACTTGACATGTTTCACTTGCATTTAGCAATGGAATTTTTCAACACAATCCACCCACATCCGCATTTACATCCGCACACACATCCGCATCCGTTTTTCCTTAGCGTATGTATTAGAGTTCAACTGCGCTCATTTGAAGCGACATTAAGTGTGCACTCGAGTAAAGTGATTTGATGCGTGTCACATTCGAGTGCAGCACTTGCTGCTTAGAAACGACACCCCATATTTTCCCAGAAAAAGGAAAGCTTTGTAAAAAAAAAAGAAAGAAAAACGCAATACAGTTGCTAAAAAAAAATGCTGCAGTGAACAACAACGCTTGTTCTTTTTTCATCTTACCACGATTTTAATTTTCTTGCTAATAAAAAAAACAAAAAAAAGTAATATTTTTGTACCTCCTGTTTATCAAAGAAAAATTAAAGAATTCAAAATGGCAAGTGATTTCTAAAATAACTTTAAAATGTGACAGCTCAGTAATAATGATCGTACTACTTTTACAAATTCAATTTTCGAATGATTTATTTATTATTAATGCTATCTTTAATTTGTATTTTTTTAAATATCCAACAAATCTTGTTTACCTACAAATCGATGAAAGGTAGCTGAAATAAATTTTGCGTGGAAATCTTTTAAAAAAACAAATAATGTCGTCATCAATGGCATAAATTGTTGGTCAATACAAATTAATGTATAACAAAAAATAATGGAAATAAAAAATGGTGGCAAATATTGACAAAGAGAATTAATACTTAAATTGATGGAAACAGATTTCTTGCTTTATTTGTCAACATTCAATGAAAAGCTTTTATTTTCGTATGCATAATATAGGCTTTAGAGTCTGGACTTAATTAAATTAAAATGAACAATAAATAAAGTGATTGAGACTTCAGCGAATAGAAGAAGTTTCCCTACAAACGAGCCCCTAAAAGTATGAGTTCCATTCTGGAAAAGATCAGGGGCCTGGGGTCATCAAATAGATTAAATAAATACAGTAAATAAATCATTTAGCCTCGGCACAAGTAACGTATACGCCACATAGGTCACGGAGCACACGTTTATGGCCCAAATCGCGCTTCAGAGTTATAAACACGTATTATATGCCATTCCAAAAAGCAGCAAAAGCCCACGCTTAGATCCATGTGAGTACGTGACAATTAAATTTATGAAATGCTATAGCCCAGCCGGAGGAGGCCAAAAGGTGGAGAGTCCTGCAAATCCGAATCCGAGTTGAAAAGTCAGTTCAAGGGGGCGCGTGACTGTTGCCAAAATGGTGGCAAGTTGGCCCATTAGGGGAATTCAGCCAATACAATGATATCCTTGAACGAGGCCATGGATTTGGGCCCGTTCTTAAATGTATTTCCAAGAAGGCTACTAACTGTGTTAACTTCAAAATTGGATAGCTTTAATCGGTCGAAACAAAAATGAACCACTACTAAACATAGATTTCGAATCATTGTATTTAATAGCTCAGTTTGAGTTTTCAGCAGTGAAATTAGTAAAATAATAAATAAGGCCTAATGAAAACCAAAACATTCTTACAACGAAAAAGTCTTTTGTAACAGAAATCTGGAGTGTCCTTAAGATTTTCAAAGATAAGTGTTTGGAAATTAAAGTCCCAAAAATGTGATGAATACAAGAGTGAATGGAAAAAGTGCTGCATTTTGTACAAGCCTCGTTTTATTCCAGCAATATTCGCTATAAGGATCCATCAAGGCATTCATTTGGGCCAAGTTACGACCGGCAATAATCAGAGCCTTCAGTTTGGAGGCCCGTATATCTTCTATTATTCACTGCCTTGTCATCTGCTGTTGGCCATAAATTTAACCGTGAATTCGGGCACGCCCCCTACGCCCACCTGCTCGGCCATTTACATTTTAATATGCATTATTAGCGGGATAATTGTTTGGGAATATTGCCCAAGAATAGGCAGCCATAAAAACATGTCGCCTCCAGGACGACCAACACCACTCCCCCCCAACACCCCTACACCCCTCAATTTGTCACTTTGCCATTCCATTTTGGTGGGTATTGGTGGGCTGGCCACGCCCCCTTCGTTGTCACTTGTGCCATAATAAATTCAAAAGGCCGCCATGAAAAGGAAAAAATTGTCGCGCACTTTTAACGTTCATTTGTCAGCTCGGTTTCGCTGCCTTTTACATAGGTTTCCCTCACCATTTTAATATTTTAATATGTCCTGGCACGCATTTTCCTCTCACTTGTTTGGTGAAAAATGAATTTCATTTTTGCCTGCGATGTCGTTGTGTGGATTTTAATAAATAGAGTTATAATAGCCGCTCCCTTCAAGTTGAGAAGGAAATTAATATAACAAGTCGATTGTTTACGACTAAGTTTGGCAATCGAAAGAAAAATGGTGAAAAACCAAAGCATTTTTCACAGCATATCGAATGCCATTTGCTCAGACTTTCTTCCTTGACTTCTCAACAGGAACTTACCACTTTTATTCCATTGGTTTTTAAGCTATTATTTTAATTAAATAAAAACCACATCCAAAAAACTAAAGTTACGTTTTTCATTTTCAAGCAAACTATCATCATTAGTTTCCCAAAAAATCAATTAGAATATGGACTCAGCATTTAATATTTTAAAGAGCTGGAAAAGTAAAGTGTGTTGCAGGATTTTTAAAACCATCACAAATTGCAAAATACTGTCAGTACTTTGAAAACATTAAATGAAGCTTATCCTGCCGTTTCTATTCCTTGAAATTGTTATTTCCTTTCTCTCAATCGTCAATATAAACGGAATATCTGTTGTCTAATTGAAATGCCATGTTAGAAAGGCAAGGAAATGCATTGCACAATGCAGGATTAAATTCAGTTTTTTCCTGTTTCCCTAAGGCTCACTTCGCACTAATTGAAAATGTATACCACTGGCATGGTTCAAAAGCACCACGGGGCGTATACGCATTTTTAAAAATATGAGAAATTCCTGGGTCATACAGCTAGCTCGTTTTTTTTTCCAAAACAGTCAAAGAAATCCCGGTTGCCTTATTTCTTTTTTTTTCCCTTTATTAAATGATAAATCTCTGAATTCTGAAGCGAGCCTCAAAAAATAAAAAAAATTTGCACGGCTTAATTTCAATACTGTCAAAGAGATTCTTATCAAAATCGGAAAAAATCCACAATTTTTTAATAGCAAAAAGTGATAGAAATCAATCAAAAAATATCCTGAAACAAAGCTCCGAAAATTAAAAGAAAAAATCTTTAAATTCAAAAATTTGGTGTAATAAGCCAATCCGAAAAACAAGTAAAAACCTGAAAGCCTTTTTGGCTTCACTGCAGGCATTTTTCAATAAGTGCCACAGGGCGTTTACGTAACTAAGGACATATAATAGTATTCTGCATTTATCCTCATGAAATTTCTGCCCTTTGCTTGTGCACTCAATGGCATTCGTTTCACTGGACATTTGAAAATCCCATAAGTATGAGTGTCTCATGGCACAAACAAAAAACAAAAACCTCTTGGCAAAGCAAGCATCTAATAAGTGAAAAATGGAAAAGTCACAGTACAGGCTCTGTTTTTGAGTTTTCTGACTTTCATTTGTCACTAATTAAAAAGCAGCATTGTCAATGGCACACTGGGCGTATACGTAATGTGAGGCAAGTCAAATAAATCCAAAAATAATAATAAATAAATGTCAAAGATCTGACAACCTTTTTGGCTTTACTGCAGGAATTTCTCAATAAGCTGCACAGGGCATATACAAAAGTGTAAATACCTAAAAATTATTATGAAATTTCGAGTCACTTACACAATCACAAATTAAGAAACAAAGCTCACCTCAAGTTACTAATTGAAAAGTCACAAAGCAGGCTTTGTTTTCGAGTTTTCCATGCTTCATTCGTCACTAATTGAACGGTAGCATTGTGAAGAGCACACTGGGCGTATACGCAATGTGGGACAAGTCAAACTCTTATTAGCCCTTGGTATGAAAAATCCACAAAAGATTTCTATATTCAGAAGCTTGTCCAAAATCTGATAAAATTAGCAACTTTCATATAAATATTTGGTTAGTACGAAAATTCCACATTAAAATCTAAAAAACTAAGTTCACCCACTTAAAAACTGACTAATGAAAAAGTCACAATGCTGGCTCTATTCTTGAGATTTTCAAGCCTAATTCGTCACTAATTGAAAAACAGCATTGTTGGCCAAAAGCAGTAGTTCTTTGTTTGAACGGAATGCAACGGATGACCGAATCAAAAGTCTCAAATTCTCAAATTCTGCCTCTCCACACAAAGTAGATTGGCATAAATTTCTCTGTTCCTCTTCGAAATTGCAATGTAAAGCAAATTAATTTTTGCCCATTGAAAGTGGGAAAATAGAGGGAAATGGCAGTGGAAATGCGAGTGGAAAATTGAAATGGTTGCTTACTGTGGCTCTACTAAGGCTTCCCATTGACATTGAATTCGTGCAACACTGGGATTTTCGTTTAATTAAGTTGAAAACAAAACGCCGCAAGGAATCTGTCAATTAACTAGTTTTGTAAACTATTAAGAAACATGTATTTGCAGCAATTTAAATGTGCAATTCTTAATTGTTTTAAATAAGAGAAAGAAAATGAAAACCCTTTGTTCTAATAATACTTTTGTAAACGATTGATTGCTTATTAACCAGTTGAGTTTTTGGCAATTATAATTGTAATGGTAAAATCATTTGTTTTTGAGCAAACAAAAATACTGCAAACGAAATAATTTATTAAACATTATTAGTATGCAAAACACAACAGGAACTTAGCCATAAAACACAATAATGCAATGTTAACTTTAGTGACTTTAAAACATTAACATTTGCCACACAAATATTTTTGGAAAATCGAGAGAAAATTATTCTTAATCCCGCTCCTTAAAGTGAATGTGAAAAACCATAAGCACTTATATGTTTATTTTGGTGGTGCAAAATTAAAAAGGTGCAAGGACGATATCTATGGCTTATCAATTATATAACTTCACCCCTTGGATTGCAGTATGTTTATTCGGTCGACCCTGAGTAGTTAGTGCCCTCGATGCGGCTAAGCTAAATGGAAAAGCAAACTTTTGTGGCACACACACTGTGCCGCACTCTGTCAATAAGCAATTATTATCCTGCTGACGTGGTGGCCCGGGGTCAAAAGGTGGCACGTACTGGCGGACACGTGGCCTCCGATTTAAGCCTCTTAAATGTACCGAAAAAGCAATTAAAATATAATCAATATGCCCCCCAGCCCAACTGTCGATGGATGGCCATTGAGTTGTGGATGAGTTGGTGCTGGAATCGCCGGATATTGTCATCCTGTTTGGGCGGCGGATCCTCAAGGGTCTTGGCATTGTCCACATGCCGATAATGCTGAAGCTGGCCAAGATCGATGGGCACACCCAACGGAGCACAGGCATCCCTCCAATCGAGGGCAAAATGATTGTGCACCACGGTCACATGGGCGGTATTGTGCAGACACTTGATCGCCAAATTGGGATTCAAATGTTTGGCCACGCGCACCAAATGCCTCAGCATATAGAAGTGCTCGGGTATTGTCTCATCCGCGGCCAGTTCCTTGGGGAAATACACGTTCTGGAAACAATAGCCACACCGGGCCGTGCAATTCACATCCTCCGCCTGCAGATCCTCCAGCAAATCTGGCCAATTTCGATTCTCACCCAACGGCATGATCACCTCGTCCACATCCATCACGGCCACAAAGTCAAAGTCATACAAACTGCGGTACAGACAGTCGTTGTACAGGAGGACTTCGGCCATCTTCAATGGCAGATACCCTTTGGTGTCATTGAGGAATTGGAATTTCCTGAGATCCAAGAGGCCATCCCGCGACCTGGTGTAGTGGGCCAGGGTCCTCGAGGTGTTCGGATGCAGTTCACCAATGTCGTAGGCGGTTATCCTGCCGGCACCCAGCAACCTCATCAGTTCCAGCCACTCCACCAGTCGCTCGGACATATCGGAATCGGGGAAACGCAGAAACTTGACACACACTCCGGTGCGCAGGCGGGGATTTGGTCTGGCTGCCTCCTTCTCCTCCTCCTCCTCCGCCGGCGGTTGGAACACTTTCAGGGCATTCTGCGGCACGGCACAGGTGTTGCCCAGCACCAGGCTAACCAGCTGGGGAATCCTCGCCGATTGCATCCGGAATGTGAGCAGTGTGGGATAGGCCAGACCCTCGGCATTGCCCCAGGTCACGTACCAGGCCAGTTTCGTCTGGTGCAGGATGGCCAATTCCGGCCGGGTGTCCCCCTCGAACCACATCCGCAGGTGGGTGGCCGGATAGGGACCCGTGCAGGTGGTCACCATGACCAGGACCATCACCTCCGGCACAGTGGGCCTGCGGTCGTAGTAGGCACCGTATAGGTAGTAGCTCAGGTTCTCATGCTGCACATGCTGGAAGTGCGGATTCTGGAACTCGATATTCTCGAAACGGGGAAACGAGGAGCACTCATCTCCCTGGGCGAAGTCCTCGTTGCCCCGCAACAGTGCCTCCAGATCCTGCTCCGCATAATCCGGCCTTGGAGGAAGGTAGTCCTCCTCCTTTTCCACTGCCTCCTTTGCATATCCGCTGAATACGGCAACTGCGAAATAGTCAGAGATATATTTATATTACTCCCAAATATATTTAGATATATTTAGATTACTCCCAAATATATTTAGATATATTTAGATTACTCCCAAATATATTTAGATATATTTATATATTATGGTTGCAAATACCAGAAATTCAATCTTACTATTAATCGTAAAAAATACAATCAAATAATCATTTTGATTGATAGAAATTCCACGAATCACAAGCAATTTAATAGATTTTTTATTTTGACAAGAAAACCAATTATTGACCTTAAACAAGAACTTTTATATAGCAACGTTTAACGATAAGGCTTAAACTATAATATTGTAAGTCAAATAAATAGTACTCCTACCTTTAGGGTGCAAGGGCGAGGGGATGGGTGAAGTTTCCGGAAAGTAAAGAGGTTGCTGCAACGGTCTGGTTAATTGGAAAAGCAGAAAGAGGAAAGTGGCACCGAGCACCAGAATAAGAGGCGCTTTAAAAGTGCGAAGCTGATTGTAGAACATCGCGAATCGCCTCCAATCGATTACTGAATTGAAGTCACTTCTGTTCTAGCTTCTTAAGCAATTCCAGTAAGTGCCACTACCAATTTTGTAGGGCCTATCACCTACATATGTAGTGACAAAAAATAATAAAATAATTACATACAGTCATTGGCAAAAAATTAGCAACACCAGTTCGCCGGTTTTTTTTTAACATCAATCTTTTGTAAGCCTTACTAAATATAAAATGCCGAAACTTGTATAAAATATAAAGTGCAACTTCATAAGTCATACGTAAAATGAATAAGTATTTGCAATTTTTGCTGCTTCGAACTCAATCTATTTTTTACAATTTGCCATTTGTTTTTATAATTTATTGATTCGTTAATTTAAATGTTCAACAAAACTTATAACTACTCCTATTAAAATTAGTGAAAAACTTACCGAATTCGCAATGTGGTGTTGGAATTTATGTTACACAGCTGCATCGACGCAAAACAATAGATGCATTCAAATTTGCCTAGAAACACAATTAGTAAGCCAAATAGCAATGTCTTTATTTAGAACGCAATGCGTAAACTTACTCAGTTTTTTAACTAGTTTGACTAGTTTCTTATTTTGTAAGACAGGTTACGAATGACAAATTTAGCATTCAGTGGATAAAACAAAATGTTATTTGTATAATAATTGCATTTTTATAGATAGTTTATTAGTTATTATGCGTATACTTACATATTTCAAAAAGAGCAACTAATTAGTTGCCAATGGCTGTATTTATCTATCATAGTTGATAAGATAACTTTAAGAAAGATACTTTCTCTTTTTGGGAATACATGATAAGCGAGTATTGACATTTTTAATTAATTTCAAGACAGTGCGTGAAACACGTTTTAAAAGTGCTTATTTTCAGCTTCATTTAATAATTAAAACAAAACAAATATTTAAAAATATATATTTTAAAACTAATTCAGTTATAGATTTTTATTTTATAAAATGATTTTTAAAGAACAACATTTTATTATAAATATATAATCTTTTCAACAATTTTGGTTACCCTATAATTAGTTTAATTACCAATAACCAGTTTAGTCGTCAGTTTATAAAAATTACGAGATAGTCTTGAAACGTAAATTTAAACTCTTAAAATGGTATTGTATGTACTTGAATGTAGGCTATAAAAATAAAACCAAAAATCGCAGAGGCAAGATTTGTCATTCGGTTAAGTCCCGAATATATATCCACCAGCTCCTGGGCAATCTTTTCATTTAAATTAAGCTGCTCATGTATCGGGAAAAGTGGCCAATCGGCGGGGGGATTTTTCCAAAGGTAATATGGCCCTTAACAAGCGGCAAACAAGCCGAGTCCGATGGATGGAGTCATTATTATTATTATGTATGTACGTCAACCTTAACTTGGCAATGGCCAATGGCCAAAATGACAAAAGCAGTGGTCGTCGGAGATCGGGGGGATAACCCCCCGATATATATATATATATTTATGGGGTATATATCTGCGGGAAATGGCAGTAAGCCTGGCGTAGGCAGCACCTGCATTAAATTATTGATTCGATTTCGCGCCCGGTTCGTTTTTATTGTGGCGAACTTTTTGTCTGAATGAATTGTAGCCGACTGGCATTGTCAAAGTTTGGGTCCACCCTGGGCAGACACCCACCCACGCACACTCACACCCACACCCACACTCACACACCTGCCTGTCTGTCAGTCTGTCACGTTGCCTTTCCAATTTTTATGTGTGCGGGTGTACGGGTATGTGTGTTTGCGGGGGCGGCTGCCACGCCCAGAAACGGCATAACAATAACAAAAATAACAGCAACAGACAGGCAGAAATTTATGTGTGCGTCGCAGAGCGTTTCCTTAAATGCACTCACTGAGCGAAAAAAAAACTAAGGATAATAGGAAATAAAAATCGAAAATCTAAGGCTTAAAAATTTGCATTTATTTAATTATATTGGAACCTTTGCCATTAAACTATTGTCTACAAACAAGCTTTTGTACCTTGTCGGGTAATTCATTTTATTATAGGTGTATAAAATTATTTAAGCTTCCTCTGAAATTAGACACATAAAATCGCAGTTTAGGTATACATAGTTTTTAGAACATAAATTAATTTATTATCTTATTTTTGTAATCAATATAATAAATTTATGTGCCAGGCATCGAAACTAATATTTTTTTGTTATAATGACTTGTAAAATGATTAAGAGTGTTAAAACGGTATACAAATTTTAGGAAAAATTTAAATTCCAACAAAATACAATAATATTTCTTATAAATTAGTGCAATCAAGTCCCCGATTTTATCGTTCAGTTGCGTTTCTTAATTACATTCAGTACCTTGAATTTCGCTAGGTGTACCTATGTGCACGTATACATGTGTATGGCAAACAAGACATAATCAATCACTTAACCCAAAAACGCACACCAAACGTTCGTTTCAATTAAAGTTTCGTTTTCATTCACTTAGCCTGGGAAAACGAGATGGGAAAAATCCAGAAAAATGGGAAAGGCAAGCCAAAAAAAAAGCAAAATCATTTTATACACTGGACGAATTGGCCCGGGCAATTATTGAGATTACAGCCAATGAGTAATAAAAGGAAAATTGGGCGCATAATGATGAGTCATTCTCCTTGATACGAATACCTTAAGCTCCATTAATTATCATGATAGTTATTGGATATTTATAGGTTATCTTTGCCGAGCACACTTCGAATCTTATTTCAAGCATGCCCAGAAACTTTTTAAAATTTTTTTATTTATTTCAGTTAATTTAATTAACATTGAATCGCATTGCAATTTGACACACAAAATTCCTTTGCCAATTTATATTGCAGCTTCCCCTATTGACTTAATTTTAGTAAATTCCATTGAAATTCATTAATTATTTAGTAGTAATATTTCATGACAGAATTTTTTGTAAATTAATTCTTAATAAACAGTTTTTAAATTTTATTTGCAATTTTAGCTGCTTATCCTTTTACGTGATTTCACTTGTATTAATATTTTTTTGCATTGCATCACATTATTCGCAGATGTGAAAATATCAAAAATAAATAAAACGTGAATTTCATTTTCTTGCTTGTGAGAATCAAAAATCTCATTAAAAAGTGCTGTTTGTCTTGCTTTAATTATTACCCAACGAATATATACTTATAGATTTTGGGTTTTTTAAGCAAACAATATCAAAGAATATATTTTAATTATTTACATTGCTGGCAATCGCGTATGAGTTAATGTCGCAAAATGTAATTTCCTAATTTAATTTCCCAGTAGATATTTCTTTTATTTACCTTTCCCAATTGTGGTTCAAATGATAACTTATTTCGAAAGTTTTTTGTTTTTTTTTTTTGCAAGCAGGCCAAGGAATAATTTTTGCCGCTACTTTGATTTCAGTTTCGTCAAACACACACAGTATTGTGTGGTTTTTGGGGTGGAAGTGGGTGTTCTTGGGTGGTTTTCTCTTTTGGAATAGGGAAATGGTGGCTTTATCGCCGACTGTTCGCGACGGAAGCTTTCAATTTCCGCTGGCAGCACCCGCTTTTCTATATGGATTGGTCTGGTCGTTTCTGGTCTCGGCCAGTTCTTTTCCTCTCATATTTTTTTCGACTCACATAATTCGCATATTCGCATATCATCGTGGCGAAAGTCGGAAAAAATCGTGAAAAATCGGTGGGGTGGGTTGGGTTGTAATTTTCAAGTATATAGAGATACGGGCGGGAAAAGAAATCACAGAATCTGTTGCTTTCTTTCGCCACTGTTGCTGTAATTGAAGCCATGACGCAAGCGAAACTCGCTTCCAGCAGCATTTCAATGCCTTTCTCCGATATTTCCCTCGATTTCCCATGAAAACCACCCCCCCTCCCCCTCAGAATTGCTCGCTCGAAAATAATTTGTTTTCATCCGACACGAAAGTCTGCTCGCGACAAGGATAAGGAAAAGTGTAATGCAAAACGGCAGCGAGGATGTCCTTTAAATGATTACGACAACTCAGATTGTGGACCGACAACCCTTTGAGAGCAAAGTACATACATACTATATATATGTGGCCATATTTTATTATTTGTAAATAAAATGGCGAGAGGCCAAGGGCCACCTGATCTGCACTCAAATCACATTTTGTCACACATTTAGCATAATTTAGCACTTCATTTGCGAGCGCAAAAACCGCGACAGCTGCCTGCGAAAACTTTTCAACACAAAACACGCCTCCTTTTTTTTTGGTGGCCAAAAGATATATGGATGTGGGCTGGCATTAGGTTGCAAAGTGATTATGATGCCCCGGGCGACACGTCAACAGACAGCAAATCCCAAACATAGATATATACACACTCAGAAAAACCACATTCGGAAAAATGAAAATATATATTAAGATTTACACAAATTTGGTTGCGTTTTTACCGATTCCTCCATCGGAAATTTGCTTTCACAATCGTTAGTCATGTAAACCTCTTAAGAATTATAATAAAAATATATTTTTGGGTAAATTTTTCGTTAATTTTATAATGTTTTCAAATTTCCTAAAAATTGGCTTGCAGAAAAGTGCCAAAAAAATGCACTTCTAAGCTCATAACTTTTGAAATAGACATCCGATTTCAAAGTGGCATATTTCTAAATGATTATGGTTTAATTCTCTAAACATCTGTATTTTTACTTTAATTTTTATTTTTTGGTCGATGTTTCGACATTTCCAAATTTTCAAAAAATGGGCTTGCAGAAAAGTGTCCAAAATCTGCTCTTCTACGCTCATAACTTTTCTTACAGACATCAGATTTCAAAGTGGCATACCTTAAAATGATTGTGATTTGATTCCCTAAAAATCTGTGTTTTTAGTTAAATTTTTTTTTTTGGGTCGATATTTCGTCATTTTTAATGATGTTACCCCTTTCCAAATTTTTGAAAAATTGGTTTGCAGAAAAGTGGCCAAAATCTGCACTTCTAAGCTCATAACTTTTCATACAGACATCCGATTTCAAAGTGGCATACCTCAAAATGATTGTGGTTCAATTCT